GGAGATCCCAAGAGCTAGATTCAAGGAGAAAAATAAAGTTGTAATTGACGGTTCAACATTGTCAATTAACTCAATCCATTCTCATGATGAAGACAATGTTCAGGAACAAGGTTAAAACATTAAGGCTTGTTAATGAGTTAATAAAGCTTAAAGTTTTTAATGATTTGCTAAGTTTGGCAGATTTGACCAAATAGTGTATCTACGCGATGACACGGTTAGAAATCACTTATGTGAGTGTGAAGTGTAAGCCGCTTCAAAGAGATTTTTTTGTCAAAAGCCTATTCTTTATACACTCATGAAACGAGGAGGTGTTTATGGCTGAAACAAACACAACCGTAAAAATCATAAACGGTAAAGGGTTAATTGTGTGACATATGGTTGTCTAGGTATACACCAAAGCTCGACGGTTCAAAGATATAACATCTACCGATTGATCGAGTATATCCGACATATGTTCACTATGAAAAGTCCAATGTGAAACCTACTTATCCAGATGCAATTGATCTGTGCTTGTAAAGTACACACTCGTCTGTGCATTCCTTTATGTTATGACCATTCCCCATTAATGTGGGAGATTGTTAGGTACAACAAGAGTTAATGGGAAATGGAGGGAAGATGAAAAAAGGAATTGGAAACGATTCTCTTATGCTTTAAGAAAAGACATTTCTCCCTCATTGGTGGTGGAAAGAAAATGAAGTGCTTAAATAGAGAAACACTTCTATTAGTTGTTAAGAGGGTTGGAAAGAGGGACCCCCCTCGCGCCGTCGGCGTCACTCGCTCGGCTTCGGCTTTGGCTTTGGAAAATGATCGATTGAGAGATTATTTTTTTGGATAAAGTTTTATTTTATTTATTTAATTAATTAATTAAATTAAATTAAATGGCCAAACACATTTCAATTATTTAGTTCATTAACCGAAATGTTCCGACCCGACTCGAATCCCCGCGACCCATTTTATTTGAAATATTTTTCCGTTTTATTTGAATTTTCCGCCGTTGGAGATGACTGTTTTGAAAGGTTTCAACTTTCAGGAACAGCCATGACCGTTTGAAAGGTTGCAAACTTTCATGAATGGTCGTGTGGATTTTGAAAGATTGCAACCTTTCGGAATCAGTTTCTCTTGGCTATAAATACCCGTAATTCTTCAGACTTTTGACTTACAAAAATTTATGATTTATTTTTCTTCTTCTGCACAAATTTTCTTCGTGTACTTTACTGCCGTTGAGTGACTCGCTGACACCAGCATTTTGGGTATCAATACACTGGTGATTGAGATCATTCTATCCTGGGAGGACATATGTTTTTACAGATTTTAGTTTTGTGAATTAATTTCTGTTCTTCACTGGTTCATTAAACTTTGGTAACGTCGTGTTTCTGCAAAGCTTGTTGTAATCAGTACTACTGTTTTAAACACAGATTGGCTAACAGTTGGTGGATACATAACCTATTATATGATATGGTTTAACATGTTGTGATTATATATGTTGGTTTGGTGAATTGCTTTTTATGTGTCAAGTGTCTGCTTTGGGGCTCGTTTGAACTTGAAAATGCACATGTTTACCCCTCAGGACCAATTGGCGCCATTAATAAGGTCTTAACAGACGTCCATAAAAACTTTCGACCAAAAAAAAGCCAAAATCCCGAATCACCAAAAATCCATGGACTATAGCAAAGTCTACTTGCCATTTGACTTACATGTTACATGTTTTTTTAAAATGTAGTTGGTTTATGATGACAAATTATTGGGAGCGATCTTTCGTAACAAGGCACAATGATGATTGTGATTTTATATAATGTGATTATTGTTTGAAACATGTGATTGCGCAAGTAGATTAATGAATTGAATAAAATGATCCTATAAATTATGTGTTTGATATAATATCTTTATATGTACGAACAATCTCTTTGTCGGACATGAACCTTTGTTGTAAAATTTGAAATGATAGATCTTTATTTTTTCTTACAAAATTAAACATATGGTCAAGTTTTATATTAAAACATTTTATAATCAAAATTTAGAATCGCAAATCACATTTTTTTGGGAGCATTTGAAAATTGAAAGCATAATTTTGTATCACATATCCAAATGTTGATTTAAGATCATGACTTTATATCACATGCCTAAATACAAAATTAGCCTCCCACGAGGAATCTGAAAAGTTAAGCTAGCATTTGACCATAGTTTTCCAAATATTTTTGGAAAGTTATTTTCGAGTGAAGCTTTACCATACGTTTGACCATAAGTTTTGAGAGAAATATTTGATTTTTTAGAAAAAATATGATTTATACCCATAAGTTCTAAAAACTATTAAAAATATGCATAAGTTTATATTATCATTATATAATGAACGGTTCCGTGAAAAGTTATGACACCAAACACAATTAAATATGAATCTAAAAAAAATAAAAGATATCATTCATTTGTATATGAAAAACTACTATTACTTCTTGTAATGGAAGTTACTTTGGAGATTAAACTCAGATAAAAACTGCATAAATTTTATATATAATTGTATAAATTTTGTTCAGCAAACTAGATTGAAATTCAATCCACAACTATAAACAATGAGTGTTTTATAAAACATAAAAACTGAGGGTAATTTTAGAAAAGTTCTTAAATAATATAATATGCCCATATTCTATTTTTTTTCCTTGGTATTTGGAAATTTGGATTGTTCGCTAAAGATATTTACCAAATAACAACTTATATGGCCAAATAATATTTGACAATTTCCCCACCAAATATATTTGGAAATATCTATGGCCAAATGGATAGAGAGGAGAAAAGTTGCATACTGATCGGATTGATTTTGAAGTTTTTCAATTCGACTTATTGATTATCAGTTTGTAGACATACTAAATCGTTCTAGAACCATTAAAAATTGCCTTATTGATTATTGATCGTTAGTAATTTGATTATCGATTTAACTGTTAAAATTTGTCACAATTTTTTAATTGAAAATCACTTAAAATAAGGTCACAAACTAAATAAACCATGCACAATATTTTGCTCAAAAGCAAACACCATCACATTGTAAAATAATCAAAAGCTTGAGACAACCAAAAATAAAAGTATGGAAGTAAACTCTAAGTTAAGGACTTTATATAACAAATGGTAAAATATATTTCCTATGTCCCAATTTATGTGGCATTTCTCGAATTTCGAGATTCAAACAAGTGTATCTTTGACCGTAAATTTTTCATATATCTTTTAGTTATTTTGAATTGCCAATTATTGTGACTTATAATACTTTTTACGTAGTTTACAAATATATAAATTTGATTTCAAAAAGATTGAAGATTCCACGCACAAATTTCCGGTCAAACTTAAACTATTTGACTCTCGAAAAATGAAAAGTACCACAAAAATTGGGACAGAGGCAGTAATTATTTAATTTACCATTGAATTATCAGTTAACCGTTAAGAAAAAATCTCAAATCCTTAAGAACCGATAAACCAATAATAAAAAATCTAAAAGTGTCACCAATACTGCTAAATCAATAACTCATTACCAATAAATTAATAACACTTTTTTATTTGAATTATCGATTTCGGTTCAATTTTGTAAGCAGTAAGCAGCAATTTGATGGCTTGCCCTTTCTGTCATGATGAAAAAATAGATCTATTCATTTATTTGGGTGTAGGGTATTCCATTGGAAGAACTCAGTGGACTAACTGCTTACCTTTTGGTTTTTCACTGTTCAAACAAATTAAAGGATCTGCAAAGTTACAAAGGCAAGCTAGTTTTAGCACTTGTAGAGTACTATGTCAGTGAGATGCCTTTCCCACTTTGATGCAACATCATGACAAGTGCATTAAAATGGCTGTTTTGAGTCCTTACCTTTTATTTAGATAAACAAACATGACTTCAAGCCACACAAATCACACTTTTTTCCATGAATTTTCGAAACTAATGATGGTCGAATTCAAGAGCAAGACAATTTAAGTGGTTTCCATAGAATCAAAGCTATTAAGTTCAACCAAACCCTTATAACACTTGAAAAGAAACCACCTACACTATATATTTCATTTTTGTTTCTTTATACTGAAATTTGACTAGGGATAGCAATCAGGCGGTGCAATCAATTAGTAAAAATTTTGATCCGTCCCACCCCGCATAATAATTTTTTTCATTTTCAACCTGCCCCACACTGCATAATTTTTTAATATTTTCTTTTTCTAGTGAAGTTTAAGTTTGATACTAAAAATATATTTCATAAAAATAAATTCATTTTTTCATTAAGTTGTATTAATTTAATAGGATAGTGACTTTTGAAAATTATTTTTTAGAGATCAATTGGGAAACATGTTAGAAATTGTATTATTATTTGTTGAACCATTTTCATTTACTATCTTAGATATTTTAGTAGCTTTAAATAAATTATCTTAATAAATCTATCACTCTTATAACATGTAAAGAATTAAAATTAAGTTTGAACCCACATATACCCACAATCCGCCCCTGCCCCGCCCCATTGTCATCCCTAAATTTGACCTATTATCTCCAACTAGTTGCACTGATCTCATTGATGTGCTGTAATATCACTTGTGTTATTCCAAGATGATAATTCAGAATTCAGTGAAAAGTAGGGTAGGGTAGTGAAGTGAGTTGTAAAGCTTGAAAATACTAGTCACTGTATAAAGATAAAAATAGCTAACGCTGACAATGTCAGGAGTTACATCTTCACCAACGGATCTTTCTCATTTTTCTTTGTCATTGTTTTCAGTGAAGACTCAGTTAATGGACTTCTTCACTGGTTTTACTACTGTCCTCATTGGTCACTTCTTAGATTTTTCCCATACTTCTCAGTAAGCAAATTAGTGGGTGAGTAGGAAACTTATCTCACTTCAATTAGAACTAGTTTCAAGATTGAGTTCAAATAAGTACTTATTTAGATAGAAAGCCTTTTACCATAATAATGTTTGAAAACCAAATGCCTTTTAGAGATGAGAAAGAAAGAGACTATGAAATCCCTTCTCAAAATGGGGTTAAGCACTTGTTTGATTGCAAGACTAACATGGAGGTTGATAATAGAAGTTCCTCTAATGTTTACACGAGACCAAAATTAATTAATGTTAAAGGTCATGTAGATAATGTTACTTCAAGAAAAATTATAGCATAAACATGCTCAACCATATGTTTTCTAATGTTTGATCAGCTGCATTTTATCATGAACTAAGTATGAGACTTAAACAGAAAACAAGAACCTTAAGACTTCGTTTTCCTCAAATTCTTTGTGGTAGTTTGATACATGAAAACAACTGTTGTCATGCATAATTTGTAGTCGTTTTTTTAAAGAAACGCAAAACAACTGACCTCCTTCTGCAAGATACGCAAAAGAAAAATCATTTCTCCAGTGGATGGATTAAACCCAACAAACTCGAGAAGCAACACAAACATAAAAGACCAAAATTCAACACAGCAAGGTCAGAGACATTCATTTGACACGTAATCTCCTAATATTTGAGATTATCAAGCTAAGTACCATTAATAAATTAAGGCCAGACAGGAAGAGTAGTGCTCCAAGTAGTAACATTAAGATAAGCTTATACTTAACCATCCTAAGATCTGATCTTCTACGCATTCACAGAACTATAAATCACCTTGTAACTTGCACCGATTGTCAGCAATGCGGCAGAGACATCAGCACCATCTGTGAAGGACGTAAGATCTTGAAATAAATGACAATGGCATGTTAATTGGTAAAGAAGAAATAATAAATGATAAATGTTCATTTGAGTTTTTGAAAAACACGACATAATGAATGATACAATAATGCACTATTTTTGCTCTACACAAATCTTCATAATATGACAAAATTCTAGCTTGCCAAAACTCAACAAGTGCTCGAGGAATATCAAATGTGAATATTTATATTATTAAATGCAAAGAGATGCATTTGTGTTGATGTGTAGATATGCAACATCATAATCAACTACTCACTTGATGGTTCTTGAAACACTAAACTTAATGGTCACTTATTAAAAGCTTCCAACTTACACTTTGAAATACACTAGTTGTCTTCAAGATATTAACACTAGATTATACAAGCAGCATATTTCTAAGTTCTGACTTTCCTTTTGCTCCAAGAATAGGACATGAAGATATGAGAGCTGCTACATTACACCCAGAACACAAGCTCTTCTTGCCAGGGTATCAGGAATGGAATCAAGGAGGAAAGTCAGGTTCTACCATTGATTAGATACTCATAAACAGCTGTCTCAATCCCAAACAAGTTGGAGATTTGATTAAATACTCAGTTTAGCAAAATGACATGCATCTTCTAGTACTACACTCAATTTCCCTCTGTAGCTATCTCCCACACATTCAGGTTGACTCTTCTATGCATAGATACTATCGGTTCCGCACACTTTAAAAAACATTCAACTCTATCCCACCATTCATCATAAGAGATTTTATTTCACGTGTCCTTGCTTCAAGTACTTTATCTCCCTTGTAATTTTTCCAGCGACGATTTCACTTTATGAGTACTAGAAGTCGTGAGACTATGGGAAGCACATCTTGTTTCGGCAACTTTTAACAAAAATAGTTGCGAATGATTTTGGAAAATGGCATGCGTCATTTCATGGTTCACCATAAAATTCTTTAAGCTACTTACTTCACCAATCAATTTTAGTATCCTTTGACCATTCACAACTTCAGAAGTGAGGTGATTTTTCGAAAAGTTGACATATACTTTTCAAAGCAAGACTAGGCAATGAATGACACACGGTGTCAAAAATATGTGAGGAAAAATTTGTTCAACATAAAACCGGCAAGCTTCATATTTCCTGCATTATCGGTGATAACTTGAACAACATTTTTTATGCCTTGAAGAAACAACTAGCAATATACACACAACCCTTGACAATTACACTAGAATCAACCGATTTCAAGAAATTGGTCCACCACTAGATGCTCTCATTATATTTATCAATGGTTGCCTTTAAATATCAGACCATCCAAACAAATCGACAATCCTTTTACATGTATCATTAATAGGTTGTAATTTTCTACCTATATTAGTCTTTTCTTAAAGCCAAAAGAGTAGTTAATAACCTATTATAAGTTGGTGGAATATAATCAGACATATGATTTGTCACCAAATACTTTTTCAAGTAAGGAGAAGCTGTAAGTTGAATGATAAATCTGATGCATAGAACATCCGAGTTGCCAACTTGTCGGCAGTGGTTCTGTTAGAAATGCTAAAAGATTTCTCTAGTGCTCCACCAGTTGAACCTTTTCTCTTTTTTCGGTTGTCATTAAATCTGAGTTTTCCGGTAGAGTCAGTGTTATCAAAGGCGAAAAGCACAAAAAAGCTCTAAGGTCTGTTGGGGCTTTAAGCGCAAATAAAGCGTGGGCTTTAATGAAAAAAAGCGCAAAGGGAGAAAAAAAATACAAATATATATGTTTAGTCCAAGTCTAATAATTATAAACATGAATGACAAATATGTGACCAAAGAAATTGAAAAATAAATTATGAAAAAGTAAAATACCAATTGCTTAGTATCACTTCTTCAGAAGAGGTTCATTGGCAAGGAAAAGTTTGTCTTACAACCTTGATGACTACAATGAAGCGCACATAAAGCGAGGCGAAGCGCACAACACATTTTGAGCCTTGCTTCAGGGCTTAAGCGCGCCTTTGACTACACTGGGTAGAGTTACAGAATTTGCCCTTTTTTTGCATCCAATTGTACCATTGATTTTTAGCTTCTTCATTTGCCAAATACTTCATGGCTAATCTCTTTGCATATTGCAACTCCATGACCGGAGAAATTTAAAAGATGTGCTTTTACTTAAGAATATGAATCCGTAACTTTTTTATTGCAAAAAGTTACATGACCACACTCTATTTCCACCACCATTAAGAGCCTTAGTATGAATCCATAAAGGTTTATCATCAAAACTTGATCCAACACTTTTTGTTGGCCTCAACATACCCTTTCCTTCTTGTTTTTCAGCGCTACTAATGATGCCATGGAGGACCATAGAACATTTCTCTTCCTCCAGAGCCATATTCAAAAGTTCTTCATCCCCATGGCATCATCAACAACGGCTGGAAAAAAAAAGAAGTATTTCGAAACCAACAAAATGTGTTGGAACAGATTTTGAGGACAACCCTTTATGGAATCATATTAAGGTTGCTCTTAATGGTGGTGGAAATAAATTGTGGTCATGTAATTTTTGCAATAAAAAGTTACAGATTCAAATTCTAAAGTAAATGCACATCTTCTAAAGCTTTCCGGTTAGAAAGTTGCAATATGCAAAGAGATCAGCCATGAAGTATGTGTAGGATTGAAGATGGAGAAGGAAGAAGCCGTAAAGAAAAAATCAATGGTACAATTGGATGTAAGAAAAAAGGCAGATTATGTATCTCTACCAGAAGGCTCAGATTTATCACAACCAAAAAAAGAGAAAAGGTTCATCTGGTGAAGCACAAAGAAATCTTTTAGCATTTCTAACGGAAACACTACCGACAAGTTGGTGGCTCGGATGTTCTACGCATCAGGTTTATCATTCAAAGTGGCATGCTTTACGTAGCTGCTAGCCAATTAAACAGTTTTGACATTTTACAATATGGCCAAAAAAGGTATCTCTCTATGCAACAAATTCTCCCTATGTGCTAAAGAAACACAAACGGTGAGACACCTCTTTCTAAACTGCAATTTCACTGACCAACTGTGACGGATTTTCCTTTTATCTCAAAGGCATTTCCCAAAGAATGCCTAATAAGATTGGGGCTGGACTATATGGAGAGAGAGAACTAATAAATGTTTTGAGAATAGGAACAACAACTTGCAGGATGTCAAGCTTAAATGTATTTTGTTGTTCTGTTTTTGGTATATAAAATGTCTAATCCAATAGGACTGAGTAAATCATAGGTACTTTAGGGTCCATCAGAATTATGGTTCAATTTTGGAGAAGATTACTTCTTTTTCTTCTTATTTATAAATATGGTTTTTCTGTACTACCTACTGACTTAAATACAAACGTGGCCAGTGTAAAAAAAAGGTTTATCATTCAATCGCAACTTCTCCTTACTTTAAAAAGTATTCGGAGTTTTTGGCAGCAAATCATATACTTGGTTATGTTCCACCAACTTATAATAGTTTACGAACTACTCTTTTGGCTCAAGAAAAGGCTAACATAGATAGAAAATTACAACCCATTAAAGATACATGGAAAAAAAGAGGATTATCAATTTGTTCGGATGGATGGTCTGATACTAAAAGACGATCATTGATAAATATAATGTGAACATCTAGTCATGGACCAATATTATTGAAATCAGTTAATTCTAGTGGAATTGTTGAGAATGGTGAGTATTTTGCTAAGTTGTTTGTTAAAGCCATATAAGATGTTGATCCAAAAAATGTTGGTCAAGTTATCACCGATGATGCAGGAAATATGAAACTTACTTGTTCTATTGTTGAACAAACTTTTCCTCACATATTTTGGACATCATATGTCGTTCATTGCCTAAATCTTGCTTTGAAAAGTATGTGTCAACCTTTCAAAAATTCACCTCACTTCTCAAGTTGTGAATAAATACTAAAATTGATTGGTGAAGTGAGTAGCTTAAAATTTTGTGGTGAATCATGACATGGCACATGCCATTTCCCAAAAAGTGTTCGGAACCATCTTTGTTAAAAGTTGCCGAAACTAGATTTGCTTCCCATATTATCATGACTTCTCGTATTCATTAAGTAAAATCGTCATTGGAAAAAAAGGTGATGGATGACAAATGGAAAAATTACAAGGGGAGATAAAGTACTTAAAGCAAGGGTGTTTGAAATAAAACCCCTTGTGATGGATGATAACTGGTGGGATAGACTTAAATCTTTTTACAGTGTATGAACCAAATAATATCTATGCTTAGAAGAGCCAACCCTGATTGTCCACAATTGCACCTTATTTATGACATGTGGGATACAATAAGCGAAAAGGTAAAGGTGATTAAATTTGAGCATGAGGGGAAAGATCTTATTAATGGCCAATAGGATTTTCTTTGATATTGTTTTAGGTGGAGATCATTTTAATATGAGAAAATGGTCTAAACCCCCCCCCCCACCCAACCTAGACTCGAAATCTCAACTACACACTCCAACTTTACGGGTGTCCTATTACCCACCTGAACTTTATATTTCTCTATTTTATACACACCTAAGTGCTGACCCGTCATGGGAGGTGTTCTCACCTCCTTTAGGAGCGTTAGAAGGTTAATTTTGACGAAAAATTCCTCCTTGCCTGAGCTCCGGCGAGTTCGCCTGAATTAATCGTAGATTCCTCAAAGGTTGGCACAGGTAAAACTTGAGGTATGGGTAAGACCATAGATACATCAGGATGATCAGAAGATGTATAGTAAGGCTGAGACTCAAAAAATGTAACATCAGCGGACATAAGGTATCGATGAAGATCCTGTGAATAACAACGATACCCTTTTTGGACTCGAGAGTAACCAAGAAAGACACATTTGAGGGCACGAGGAGCTAATTTATCTTTTCCTGGGGCTAAGTTATGAACAAAGCATGTGCTCCCAAAGACACGAGGAGGGATAGGATAGAGATGTGACTGAGGAAACAATATGGAATGTGGGACCTGATTCTGAATAGAAGAAGAGGGCATTTTATTTATCAAATAACAAGACGTAAGAACTGCATCTCCCCAAAAACGCAACGGAACATTGGATTCAAGGAGAAGAGTACGAGCGGTCTCAATAAGATGCCGATTTTTTTCTTTCAGCTACACCGTTTTGTTGAGGGGTGTATGGACAAGTAGTCTGGTGAATAATGCCTTGGTGAGTCATAAACTCCTGAAATTGGGAGGATAAGTATTCTAAGGCATTATCACTACGAAAAGTACGAATAGAAACACCAAACTAATTTTGTATTTCAGCAAAGAAACTTTCGAAAATAGAAAATAACTCAGAACGATCTTTCATTAAGAAAACCCAAGTACATTTTGAATAATCATCAATGAAACTAACAAAATAACGAAATCCTAAGGTGGAACTGACTCTACTAGGACCCCAAATATCAGAATGAACTAATGAAAAAATAGACTCTGAACGACCCTCAGTACTACGAGAAAACGTAGCACGAGTGTGTTTCCCAAGTTGACACGACTCACAATCTAATGTGGATAAACTAGACAAACTAGGCACCATCTTTTGCAGTTTGGATAGACTCGGATGTCCCAAACGTTTGTGAATTAGATCTGGGGAATCTATAACGGAGCATGCTTTCAAGGAATTTGAAGAGGCAAGGTAGTAAAGGCCTTGTGATTCATGTCATGATCCAATCATCTGTCCCATACTGCGGTCCTGCATGAGAAAAAAATCATCGAAAAATTCCAACCCCTTTTGGTTTTGTTTGGATCCCATTGGCTAAAGTAATAGCTGGAAGAGATTGTGAATAAACAATATCAGACAATAGTGATTTTTTACCAGAGATATGATCAGAAGCCCCAGAGTCCATGACCCATGTTCCAAGAGTACTAGATTGCAACACACAAGCAAAAGAATTACCCGCAACAGACACATTAGGTTGTGCAGCCGAAACCACTTGTGGAGACGTTTGCTTATTTGCACGATACTGAAGGAACTCATCATATTCTGTCTAAGCAATATGAGCATTATTGGATGGTTGATTAGGTTGAGCACCATATGCTACTGGTGGAGATGTTTGTTACTTGCGCGATTTCGAAAGAACTCATTATATTCCTTTAGAACAATAGGATCATAACTGGGTGGTGGACCATGCAAAATATAACATATGTCACGAGTATGTCCAGGCTTATGACAATGACTACACTTGGATCGAGGTTTCCCAAAAACCCCCTCCCCCTCACCGATTCTCCATAGACTGATATGTACACTTTTCAAAGGTTTGAGATGCGAGAATAGAGGAGTCAACAGTGGGTGATGAAACTACTTTGTGACTGGGAGGTGCCGCAAGACGAAGGAGACGAGAGAATAATTCATCGATTGTAGGAACTGTAGGGCTACCTAAAATCTGATCATGTACAGAATCATGATCAAGAGGAAGTCCAACAAGAGTAAGAACTAGAAACAATGTTTGTCTGTGTTCTTGTTGTTTTTCCACATTCGTAGTAACTGGCATCAATGTGTCAAATTCCTCCATGACTGCCTGTACCTGTCCCAAGTAAGTAGACATATCGGATTCTTGTTTCTTTAAGTTGGTCAATTGAGCTATCACATCATAGAATCGAGATATGTCATTAGTGTATAAAGCACGAGCCTTTTCCCAAACTGTATAACACGTTTGGAATGGGCAAAACAAGGGCATCAACTTGGAATCAATAGAACGCCATAGGTGACTTGAGCATCTACTTTCTCCCATTGTGCCATGACTTTTGCATCTTCCTCACTAGTCTTTGCCTTTACATCTACCACATAAGTCTTGTTCGTTAAGTGATCTTGGACACCTTGACCCTTGCACCACAGCTCAACCGAGGAAGCCCAAGATAAATAGTTTGAACTTCCCAATAAAAGTTCTGAAGTGATTATAGGGCTAGAACTTCCAATCCCCATATTTTTAGAACCAAAAACATCACACCCAAAATACATTATGCTAAATTTGTCTTGGAAACAATGAAAAAAATCTTGATTATTGAGATCTGATTGTCGGAAAATTCAAATCTCAAAGAAAAGTCGCCGAAAATAGCCTGGAAATAGCCGAAATCCTAATTCCGGCGATCGGATCTGGTCAAAAACAGTATGGGCCTGGTTGGAATGGCTGGACGACCCCAACTGTCAAAAAATATGATCAGAAAAGCCCTCACGCGCCGGCGCGTGAGACAGATCTCGCCGGAAACTACCACCTCCGATGGCGCGTGAGAGCGCGTGGGGTGATGTTTTCCAGTGGTTCTGGCTGGGGTTTGGTCGCGGGAGCTTTCCGAGCCTCGTGGTGGTGTTGGTTTTCGCACAACACGCACAGAAAGAAAAAGAATAACAAAATCAAACCCAACAGTCACCGGAAATTGACATAGACATACGGTGACTTGTTTGTTCTCACCGAGAAATATATTATTGAATTGTGTATCTAAATAGTTACATTGAGACCCTATTTATAGACACTATATTGGAATCCTTTTCCAACTAGGATTCCTATTCTTATTCCTATTCCTATTCTAAGTAGGAAATACTTGGTTCTACTCTAACAACAACCTCTGTTCATATCGATTTTACTTACATAATTGGGTGCGCTGGGCTGAGGGGATTCCAACGTAGTGATTTGTTTCCCCTGAATCTTAGTTATCGCCAGCGAAACTTCATTTGAGTTGAGAGGCGATTTTGGCGATTCTCCCCCCAAAATCGCCTGAGCAGATCTCTCAAACGGTAAGATAGAATGTTGTGATTTTGTAGTATTAGGTAGATCTTGAGGTGTAGATTCCATTCCATCAATTGGAACGATCTGAATCACTCCAGATTTGGCTAGGGAAATAATTTCTTGCGCCCACTTTAACTCCTCCTCCGAAAGATGAACAGTGATCGGTGGATTGTAATTCAAATTTGAGGAGTTGTGGTTGGAATTTGAAGGTGATTCTTGTTGGAAAAGATCCGTCTCCTCCATGGGTATATTTTCGCATTGGTCTGAAGGTCGTCTGACCGTCGCCGGCGGCGCTATGGCCATTCCGGTGGAACTGTCAACCTGCACTCTTCGTTACAGAGCGCATTGCTAATGGAGAAGGATTGAAAATGAGAGAGGAGGATTTTTTTTTCTTTTACGTTTTAGGAGGGAAATGGGGGGAAAAATAAGAAATGGGAGTGGAAGAGGTGGGGGACCCAGCGCATGGAATCACACAAGCCTAATTATTTGGTTTGTGTTGAGGTCAGCACTTAGGTGTGTATAAAATAGAGAAATACAAAGTTCAGGTGGGTAATAGGACACCTGTAAAGTTGGAGTGTGTAGTTGGGATTTCGGGTATATGTTGAGGGAGTTTAGACCATTTTCTCTTTTAATATTGATGAAAGCATGAATGATTTTGTTGAATTGTCAATTGACGAACCTCCACTAGAAGGAGGAGTCCTTGAAAATGAAGTTGAAGATTTCGAAGATGACATGGAAGAAATTGAGAAAGATGGCCTTTAAATTGAATGTACTCATATAGATTCCTCAAGTATAACTTAGTTTAAATGTGCATGTAATGTACTCTTTTTTGGTCGATGAACTTGTGAACATGGAGTTTATGTATAAATTGTTGTGATCATTTGACTATCTTAATTTAAATAGCTAATTATTTAAAATGTGCGACTCTGACTCTCTTTGACTTTTTGTTAGTCTATTTTATTCTATAACTTGGGTAACTTCTACAAAATAAAGGTATGTTTCATTTGATTTATCTCTGACTTTTAACTCTTTTTTAAACTTTTATTTGTTATATTTGATAAGCTTATAAGATCTTAATACTTTGTTCATTTGTTGTGTGAGTTGTAGGAAATTCGATGAATCATGCCCTTTTGGAGAGGTCTGCATGCTTGCAGCCTACCTATATATTAATTATTGAGTGTATGCGACTCAATTGCTAGTTACTACACTCTACAAGGCACAAGTTACAGGTAAGTTTTCCACAATGTCTCATAGAATATGGTGGAATGGGCATAGCAAAGGGGCATACTAAGTAAATTCAGGGTACAAGTACTTAAATTTGACAATGTCACAGAACATCATCTGGTCATGGAAACAAATTTGGAAAAACAAAATACCTCTGAAGGTGGCATGCTTGTCATGGCTGTTAGTAAAAGAGGCTGTTTTGACACATGAAAACCTGAGAAAGAGGAACATCATTTTATTTACACATTGTTGTTTGTGTGGAGAGACGGCTGAGACAGTGGGACACTTGTTCTTGCGTTGCAGAATCACAGACCAACTATGGAAGATTTTCATCAATCTCAGAGGCATAAAATGGACAATGCCTAGCAAGATAGATTGTTGACACTCTCTCTTGTTGGGAGGAAGCTGAGATTGGAGCCAATAATAGGAGCTATTGGAGAACCATCCCAGCCTGCATTTGGTGGACTCTATGGAAGGAGAGGAATGCGAGATGTTTTGAAGACAGTTGTAGAACAATACAGAAGATTAAAACATATTTTAATTTGCTTTTAATGTTACCAGTATGAAAAGAAAAAAATAATTGTATTTTGCTTACTTGTGTTTGGTGTACAAAGAACTCTCCTATAGATGCAGAAGATATCCTAGAATTTTTAGAATCATGCTAGGAAGAGAAGTTCTTTCGTTTCTTACTAAATACTCACTGGTTGTAAAGGGATTTTAGCACTACCTAAGTGCTGGTTTATAATACAAATGTTACCTAATAATTAAAAAAAAAAATAATGAACTAAAAACTATCCATCTAATTTTGAAACATAACACATAACATGATAATCTTTTACAGATTTTCAATAAATGTCTGCCTCAACATTGGGCAATTAGTCGTCTGGCTTACAAATACTAACTTCAGTGATAAAGTCAAAAACTTTAACTGACATTGTCTTCCACCAGATGAAAGGAAGCACTAAAGCTACGCCCCTACTAGCAACAAAATACTATCTTCTCTTTGAAAGCAATGAAGCACCGAAAACATTATTTGAGTAAAAAAGTAAAGAAACAAAATTAGCAGGGGATCCCTATGCAACAGAAATTTCAAGGCCAAAGGTCCTAGAACACCGAAACCCTCTTTCTTTGAGATGACTTTTCCCCTTGAATCTTTGTAACAAGGGACAAATTTAAAATCGAGGCAGGTCACAGGTAGATTCTAAAGCAAGTTGGAAGGGAGTCAAATATTTCATCTGTGCCGTCCCTCCCCTGCCCAAAAAGATTTTCTCTTGAAAGGCGAAAGAGGGACTTTCTTTTTTTGATGAGCGTGGTGTTTGGGCCAGATTTCGCGCACCTCGACTAATTCCATGAGATACCTGCTACCGCTCACCAGCAACAAGTACCAGGTAACTTTATCCACCAATAGTGATTTTTGTCTCCGCTATGAATTGTACCTGAGACCTCATGGTTCTCAACCACTTATTGACCACTAGGCCATACCCTTGGAGGCGCAAAAGAGGAACGGTTGGTACCAATGAGAACCATGTATATATAGAGTGTTTGGGTAAACTTACTTTCTGCTTATTTTGCATTTGGTGAACACCAAAAGAGCTTGTAACCCAAGTACTTATATGTCAAAATCAACAGAAACCATAAGTTGATTATCCAGCTTATCTCTTCTCAACTTATAAATAAGTTTGGCTTGAGCTAAAGTTTACTCTCTTTATTTCAATCATGTATCTTACTTTCCTTTTTAGTTTGTATCAAAAAAAGAAAGTCACTTTCTATATTTAGCAACTCTCTAATTCAAACATCCACATTGTATGTTTAAGATCACAAGCTCAAGGGGAATTTTAGTACTACTAAAAACCTCCCTTACTTTCTTAAACTCGGTGCTCAGTCATACTGCTACTACTACAAGTCTACAACAACAACAAGATACCCAGTGTAATCCAAAAGTGGGTTCTGCGGAGGATGGTTGTGTATGCAGTCTTACCCCTACTTTGTGAAGACAAATAAAATGAAATGGAAGGAGTACTATTTTATCCATAATAATTTTTGCAGTTCCAGAAATTCCCTTCCAAAACAACCACCTAACTCCCTCTCCATTCTATTTTTCATTTGCCTTTCTCCATGTAAAGATACTTTCGAATTTATATTTTTTATTAACAACATTAAGGGCATCTCAAACATTTTAACATAAAAGTGCTGATCAACATTTTTTACCGCACACAAACTATTTTTATTTGTTTCAACACTTCAATCCAAACACATAACTGCTTAGTTACAAGATCCACTTCAAAATTTGTAGTTATCCATTACTTGCAATCAGTAAGGCAAAAAGGCCTCATAAAAAACAAACCAACCCCATCCATGGATAATTTGCACATCCTTTCTACCAATATCAATGAACACTAGGTTCTACCCTCCTTGTGGCATATCGAGCCAGTGGGTTTACACAAGACACTGCTTCAGCCACCTTTCCTATTTACATTAAAATCTAGAGGGTCTACTATGAAACACTTCGCATTTGCAACTAATATTTGCATCAATTTGTATGAAGAGACATCAATTAACCTGGCAGGTTGAATGACAGAGAAAATTTGGCAATCCAAAGCCAAATGGAATCAGGCAATTGCAGCCAGAATCGCCAACATAAAAACAGTAAAGCAGGAAATCACATTGTAAAAATATCTTCTCATGTTTCACTGCATCCATAGATTTGTAATTTGTGACAGCAAAATTTTCCCATTATCAAATCTCAAATTCCCTAGATACTTGCATGTTTTGAATATTTCAATCACATGGTTCATACATTTAGTTTCAATTTTCCTCTATATACTCTACATTGCCTTGTATACTCAAGCTAGGGACACCTACTCACTTACTTCCCATTTTTTAATATCTTCCCTTGCAAATCTCAGACATTTTGTTTCACTTTCCGTTTTCCAACTGTATTCCCAACATTGCTTCTTTCTTTCTGTTTTTCTAGTGATTTGCACTGATTTTTGACTGAGCATAGTTGTGTTTACTAGACTAAATTCGTACCTAGATTATATCTTCTCATTGTTGGTGTGATTTTCCCTACTACATTGCCTCAAATTTCAGTTTTGCTACCTGCCTGTCCATAGCTTAGTATATTTCTTGTGGGCAACCAGTGTTTTGAGTTTCTATACTACTCGTTCATCTTCTTTATTTTGTTTGTCGTTTGAGTCCTTATTGATTCTGTTTATTCAGCCCTTAAATTCTTGTTCTTGTACAGCCTCTGTTTGGAGTTTTTGTTGCGATTCTCACTTACTTGTATTGTATTGAGTCCTGCCTTGTTTTATTCCTGTCTTTAAGGGTCTCACTTCTAATTCTATCATCCTTAAGGTATTAGTTTTAATTGCCTTTTCTTGCTTGTGCATTAGTAGTGATTTCTGCTTGTTTCACTGTTCACATTGATTAGTTTATATTGGCTTCAGTGTCTCTGGTGGACAATGGTATGCTAGGGTCTTGTTCTAGGCGGGGACGG